GACGTCATAATTTTGCGCACTGGTACCAATACTAAATGTATAAAACGCATTTTAACCAAATTAAGTTGGCAGCAATTGGAATTTTGTCAGGTTTAGATTAAAATTTTGCTTAATAAAATGACGCATAGAAATTTCATTTCATTTTTCATTTCAATTTTTGTCAGTTGTGTTTTTGAATATTTCGTAAAATTAATTCCATTTTTTTCTTTGATTCACTAAACTAGAATAGAAAATAAATAATATTTATGTCATAGAAAACCATCGAAAAAGTATGCGACATTTGAAAACGAATGCCTAATTCCGCTCACAGAAAACCACTCGCAATTGGTGCGCATACATACCCAATCCTAAATAATTCATAATTAACCAACAGTATTTTTACGCTAGAGCAATACTGTCGTGCTTAGGCAAAAAGACGCAACTCCACATTTTTACTTTATAAATTATAGCGCTTTATTGTTTTTTTCTAAGATACGTTCAATTTAGACATTTTTAGAAGCTAGTACTTAAAAATGTATAGTTAAAATGCGTCTTCAGGGCTTCTAGTAAAAAAATTGAAAATTTTAATGATATAATGACTTCCTTTTTTGAAAATAATGACAAAATAATGACTTTTTCTTTTAAAAAATGACCATTTTATGACTTTTTATCCTAATGAAAATAAATTTTAAGTTGGAAAATAGTATTAAAACCTCCTTTTAAATAGTTTTATTCTTAATCTTTATTGTTTTAACAATAACAAGATAAAATTAATTAAAATAAATTAACAAATAAATAAATAAATATAAAATTCTTATAATTCTCTTATAACAGAAATTATTATTTGTACGTTTAATGCATCTCTAAAAGAATTAGCAAATTAATTGGGGTTTCAATTTATTTATTTAATTTTTACTTACATTATTATGTTTCGCTCTCGAGCTCTCGCCTTTTAGGTTAAGCAAAACAATTAAAACACGCACTCTTTAGAAGAAAATGGCGGGACTGTGTTTCATGAGACACAAGAATTTAAAAAAATAATGAGAACAACAAAGAATTATATTTACAACTTTTTAAAAGTATTAACAGGTGGCAACAGCACGGCACTACCAGTGGTGTAGATTAATAAATTAAAGTGACGTAGATTTTCCATTTTATTTGTATTATTTAACAAAAAAATCTTATAAACATTAAGTAAGAACCTAAAATAATGACCAAAAATGACCAATCCCTACAAAAAATGACATTAAATGACCACAACAGAAAAAAATGATTTTTAATGACTAAAATGACTTGCTAGAAGCCCTGCGTCTTTTTTGTAGGAGAATAATTTAATAATAACGAGATGAGTCTTTTTGGCTTAGGACGGCAGAATAGTCAATACTTACAAATTGGTTACATTTCCGCGCCAAACAACAATATATTTCACAACCATTAACACGTTTTATCACTTTTAAGGCGCAAAAATGTATTTAATAATTCAAAAATTATGATCGACATCAATAATTATGATTGACATTGACATTTGCAAATAGCGTTTGTACAGATGTCTGCAATTTACAAATAGATATAGTTCAGGTATTGTAGCTCTAGAGGGCAGTGGTGGGAGAGTTTCCAATCTATGGGGTGTATTATCTTTGGTTCCAGCGGCTAATAATAATGGACGAAGTTTCGGATCTAATCATCCACCTCGGAGACGACAGTTTCGACGAGGATGATGACTTTGACGACAGTATTTAGATAAATAATTTATTGACAATAAAATACATAGTGTACATTAAAATATAAAAATTATAAATAATTTTGAGAAAATATGTAAACACCTTCATTTTATAAATATGTATGTTTTCCCACCTAAATCGTTTCTGTTAATAAAATGTCCCCACATGGTTACGGTTTACAGTGATTGGGACAGTTGCATACGGTGCTTTGCCAGGAGAATTTGTTCCTTAACAATTGTACAACATTAATACCGGATAAAATCCAAAAAATAAGAGGCATTTCATTTAAAAAACCAATGCAAAGTTTACTTACTCGAAATGTCACTCGATAATCAGGCCACCCACAATATACGCGTGGACCCCTTGAAAATGATAAGCTACTGATCTCCTAACCTAACATTTCACGTTTTTTATACGTATGTCCATAGATAAAAAAGAAATAGATGAATATCTGAATGAAACTATTTTAAATGCAAAATACTTGTCCCCAGCCCGAGTAGGTGGCGCTAACACCCATAAATCTAGGGACTTTACATCATTTTGGCGACATTTCATCTGTCAGTTATTGGTCTATTGGATAATAAAGATTTATTTATTTATTTAACCCCCCTCCCACCCAATCAATCCCTTGTCTATGGTTATTTATCATTGTAATTTCAAAATGTTTGGTACGTTTGTGTTTCATTTTTGCTTTAAAAAAAGTTTTTGTACATCTTAAGTGTTATTATACATTATTTTACATCTTTATTATAATATATCTATTATATTATTCAAGGTAAGATTTTATTTAACAGTATACGTTATAAATTTTTTCTACTCCTACCTTTAAAACGCCCTTTATCGTACATGTTTCCATGACACTAAGTGACCTTTTAAATACACATTGACAAGTTGTGGCTTTATAGCGCTTTAGTCACGGGCTGAAGTTAGCTACAGGTTTTTAGTCACGGGCTGAAGTTAGTTTTAAGTTAGTTGACAGTTGTCAAATGCCATACAATCGTTAAAATAAAGTGCCTTTCTTGTAAAATAATACTAAATGTGAATTATTTTATTATCTCAATACAAAAATACAAAAGTATTAAATACTTTCTCAACGCCAATATTTGAAAAGTTTATATGAATTCTGTACTGACCTTTTAATTTCGCCGGCAGTAAACTATAACTTAAATTCGGGCACGGACTCCACTGTAAAGTCCTCACTGTGAAAAACTGTCAATTTTCAAGAAATACATTTCGATTATAACCTTTATAATCTGTGTTTATAAAATAAAAAAAATTGACATTTGACAGTGACACACAGATTCCCCTATTGTTTCATAGATGGCGCTCTATACAAATTTTTGATTGAAATCATTTTAAGATAATAATTAAGTATTTATCGTAGAAAAAGTATAGTACGCACCTTGTTTATAAACTTTTCTATACACTCATTAATTTAAGCACTCGCTCGCCAGCTCGCTCGTGCCTAAATTAAATTCGTGTATAAAATGGCGTTTATCAAACTTGATACATAATATACCTACTATTAAAGTTTAAAATTTTAAGGTTAACATTTTTAAAAAACTATTTCATATTAATACATTTTGAAGTTTTATTTTAACTGTTTAGTTTTTTTATATTAATTTGTTAAAGTTTACATATTACATAGTTCATTATGTCTGTATTACATATTTCATTATGTTTGTAAGTAAACCTATTTTTTTGTATTATAAAAATATTAATAATAAAGATTTTTGTAAATTTATTATTTTTGTATTATTTTTTTCCTCCTGCAAATGGTAATGTTATGGGTACATTACTTTTGGGCCAGTATTTAAATCGCTGGTTAAGTTTATCTGACGATTGAAATATCGGCTCTTAATCCTGTAATAATAATAATAATGACCATTTAAATCGCCCGCGTTAATTTTTTTATATTTTTTATTATATGTAATTAGTAGATACTCTTAGCAAGTTAATAATTTAAATTATAAAAATCAAGGTGCTCACTTATGGCAGATTAACCATTATTTAATGTAATTATAACCTTTTTTCTAATTTCTGATGGATAGGGGCTCCCGAGACCAAAAAATTAAAAATCTTTTTTAGTTTTGACTTTATATTTTGTTGTTGTTTTTACATAGAATGTTATTCTTTAGAAACTTGAAATCTCCGGGGTATTTTTTTTTAATCAGTTTATATTTTATGGTAAAGCTGGGTCCTGAAATATTTAGGGTTTTAAAGTGTCGAAAAAAAAACCGAAAAAATTGGGCTTAAAAAAATGTCTTTTTTGGGAAAAATTGTTTTTTTTTGAAAAAAGTAGCAATGAACAAATGAACATTAATTTCAAAAAGACTGCGTTCCGTACGTAGTCACGTGGTGGGACTTTGAGGTGTGGAGCATATGTATTGGGCAAATAGTTTTTAACTAAGCTAAATGCCATCCCCCCTGAAGAAACGGAGACGGTTTTCAGATTAAAGAAGAAGAAGAAAAATAAAAAGGTAAGTACTTTATATAATACATAAATATACTTTACATCATATTATATGTGCTTTAAATACCTGAGTTGTTACGGTAAATAAAAATCAGACAAAGGAACCAAAGAAAGGAACTGTTTTAAACAAAATCATATGCAGAAATGAGAATAATCAAAATACTTGCATCCATCAAAAGATAAAAACTTCTTGAAATATTGAATTACACCCTCTTTTTATGCTCTCAAAAATATTGACTAGAACAGTATTAGAAAGACTAGTTTCTATAACTTGGTAGAGTAAAGAGAAGTCGAAACCGTTGCGATATTGCATTTTCGCTGTTTTTTATAATTCTCGGGGACATTGACAAAAATCATTGCCAGTAAAATTCGAAAAGCTTGAGTTTCTATGTCTTTGAAGAGAATAAGAATCCGAAGTTGCTGCACCATTGGATTGCCCCCTTTTTCAATAATTTCTAGAGACATAAATGACTGCACCATTCGACATGCAGGGTCGAGTTTCTACCTATCTGTTGAATATAGAAAATCAAAATAATGTATCTTGTAAGACACCATTGAGTTTGACTTTAACTATAGTCGTGCATAGGTATAGAGGCGAAAAATATAAAAACAAAGCACGATTCAAAACAGTTCTAATAAAACTTTAAGATTTAGTATTTAAACGGGGAGTCATCCTATAAACTTCTATATTTTTCCGTTTGCTATGAAGTAAAACATCTTTGCGTTAACGTAATTTTCTAAAACTTTATCTCTTGAATGATTTAATACAAAAAATTGAGATGCCCTATACATAAATTAAAAACATAAAAGCACGAAGTTGTACTTACGATTCTAGGCCTGAACGGCGGCTTGACCTTGCGCTGTTCCAGCGCTGTCCAGTCGATCTCCTTGAAGAAGGGATGCCCCTGTATGGCGGCCTCCTGGCCCTGACTGACCACGCAGCCCAACCGTTTGCTGCTGTTTTTGGTCATGAAGCCTTTTAGGATGCTGACCGCCTCCTTGGAAAGCCACACAGGATAGAGAACGTCGTCGTGCAGGATCGACTCGAACAGGTCGTCCTCGTTGTCGGCCTCAAAAGGCGGCTGACCCGCCATCATTTCGTACATCAGCACGCCCAGCGCCCACCAGTCCACGCTAGCGCCATATTCTAGTTCCTTAGAAAAAATATATATTTTACATTAGGGGTTGTCTATAAAGTAAATCCCTGTTGAAAATGACCAGTAGAAACATAGAATCCGCACAGTATTTCTATAGGCATTTATAGTTTGTTATATGGCACTATGGTTTCAATATGAAATCAGTAAGTATGTATGAATTCATATGGTTTTCCATCCCTGGTTAAAATGTCACATGGAGACCCTGTTCAAACCAATAGATTTTTGTATCGGATTGTATGGTGTTTCTATAGGGTGTATCGTTATGTATAGGACCCATAGTTGGGATTTATGGTTGTTCTATAGGGATATCCTTCCTTGATTTATTTGGTATCGGTCTCAATAGGGAAAATGTAAAAGTTATGGTGTGCCTATAGATAATTTTTGTTAGCTTGTTTGGACCTGTAAATGGTACATTTAAAAAAAATCATCCATTGACCGCTGTGGTTTTCAGGCCTTAAGTTACTCTACTGTCCCTTGCGGCCTCGAGTTTACGGTGAATTCACCGTTTGCGTGAATTCACCGTGAATACACCGTTTATGTGCAGTGAATATACCGTCCATTTGTGACATTTGTAGGCGGTAATTAAACGGTGAACTCACGCTGTTTTTGCGATACATTCACGGTTAATTCACGGTGATTTCACGGTAAATTCACCGTGAACTCAAGTTTGCAAAATCACCGCAAATTCACTGTGAAAGTACCGTAAATTTATCGTGAAATCACCATAAATTCACCGTAAAAGCGCTGTGAGTTTACTGTGAAAACACCGTAAATTGACTGTGAAAACACCGCAAATTGTAAGTGTACACTGAGAGAAAAGAATATTTTTACCAAACGTTGCAATTGTTTGAGCCTGATTGCTTTGAATCAAACAACTGAAATTTAATTCAAAATTAGTGTTTTTGCTTAGAATGGGTGAACTGCGTTGCCAGAAATGGATGATTCGTTTAGGCTGCTGTGTTTGCTTGGAATATTATTAAGTTCTATGCAAACTTTGTACTGATAGTCAATAATATTAGGTTTTTTACTTTTAAATTAAATTTAGGTGGGTTTTCATAAAACGTGCAATATTTTCCACTAAAATTTATTTATGGGTTAACTGAAATAGATAAAACTTATAATAAATCTGCTACAATTTTTGCGAAAACCTTAGCATTTGCAACAAATATAATAAGTTTGTGGCAAACATATCAAATTTAATGGGCAATTGTGCTTAGTTTGGAAAGCGCAATTTTTGGAGTGGGGAAACGCCTCTTGAAACGCGTCTTCTCGTGCACTTACAGTGTCTTATAAAGTTTTAAATTTGCCTCCACTGTATACATACAGTTCTTACACAATAATTTTGCTTTCATGAAAACATTTGGATAAAATGGCATAACGTTTAAGAATATTGTATAAATAGTCGGCCTTATCACGAAGTGGCCTAAACCACAAAATTGAAAACAGTGACATTTTGAGAGAGTTAACTTACGATATTCTAATACTCCACGAGGTGGGCCATAGTACAAAGTCTGTGCTGTAAAAATACATATTCCATTTCGTGAGAATAGTAGGACCATCGTAAGTTAATCTGCGAAAAATCTCATTTTGTTTTTCAATTTTGTGGGTTAGGCGACTTCGTGATAAGGCCGACGATTCATACAATATTCTTAAGCATTATGGCGTTTCATCCAAAGAAACCGTAATTTCTTCAGAAATGCAGGTACGTTTAATGGAAATGAACTTTATTGGTAACAAGCAGATACCAATTTTTCCTAAAGTTACTTGCCAAGAAATTCAAAATTAGTAAGTTTGAGTCAAACTTACATCGATTCATACAAAATCGACTATACTGGTAGCAAGCAATTACCAATTTATCAGAAAAGTATTCAACAAAGAATTCAAACTCAGCAAATTTGACACAAATCTACATGCGTTTCGTTCAAAAGTGATGGTTTTTTACCATTAAACCTTGGTACATTCCGCCGTATTTAAATATGTTATAAGTTTGAAACAAACGTTATGCCTTTCGCTGAAATAAAACCTTCTCTCAGTGTAAGATTCGAACAATCTGCTAATTGGTTATTTCCAATATAATACAAATATCGCAAGAGAGCTGTCGTGAAGCTGCGCAAAATCAACGAGGTTGAGACGCCATCATAAAGAAAAAAACAACAAGTTGGACGGCATTTATTAGCGGTTTTTTTTATTAGTCGATTTCTGTGTTAGGCGGTTTAAGCAATACATCTCACGGCTGCTTACGCAAGCGAGCTAACTATAACTAGCGTTGGGTTGCAATATTTAGTTGGAAGTGTGCGTCTGTAATGGCATAGCTGAACATTAATTGTTTGAAGTCCCCATCTCCATCCTCATCTGCTCAGTAACGAATAATGGCTAGCTATAGTCGATTGTGTTATTATTATTGGTTTATTCACCGTGAATTCACTGTGAATTCACCATGAATATACCGCCAAAATACGGTGGATTCACAACTAAAATACTGTGAAAAGTGCGTGAATTCACCGTCTAACTACCGTTTACAAATGTCACAAACAGAGGGTTTATTCACGGTGAATTCACAGTGAATTCACGGTGAATAATTAATTAATTAATAATTAATATTAAAAATAGATAAATTAATTTCGATATTTTGTGATAAAATTTATATTTAAAAACGTATCGATTTGAAATTAAGATAAAATGTAGACCTTATTAGTGGCAATAAATCCACGTATTATTTTTTTTAGATTTTAAGATACAGGGGGCGCGGGGGACAATTTAATTTAAAATTTTACCATTTTTTAAGGGTTAAAAAGTCGAAGAAGCAACGTTGTTTTATATTTTTGAGTATATCACATTAAAGTACTGATAATTAACTATTATTTGATATATAAACTTCTAAATGCAAATTATGTTTCTACGAGAGGCACCATTTTTAAGTAAGGCCTTCAAAGAGCGTAATACTAACGTGTTTTACAAATTATAAATTCTTTTATCTAGTTTTATAAGATAATGTATTATATATTACATACAATATTTTATATATAACATACAATTCTTACATATTTATTTAAAAAAATCGCCATAGATGGAGCTAAAATTAGTTTTATTTATAAATTTTAATTTTTTTAAGTTTACTAATTTTGATCATAGTAGGCATCACAGACTTATCTCTATGGTAACCTACCATTGGAAGCATGATGATAATTGAACAGTTCAGTTTATAGGTTGCAAATGACTGATTGCGTTTCAATTTATAAGTGTACTATAAACTTAAAATATTAAATTATTTAAAATGAATAAACTAAATAATAATTATTATAGACAGTGTCAGCAAGTTATAAATTATAACCTACTTTAATTTTATTTTTTGCTCCACAACCAAGCTTCAATTTATTTTTTACTCGATTACTGAGGAAAGTAATATTTACCCAATAAATAAATTAGAATAAAGACTTTTTATGTTCCAATCGGCAATTTAGATATATCTATATTTTTTTCAGTTGTTTTTCGATTTTGTGTAAGTAATTATTTTGCATTTTTTTATATAAATATATTATTATATTAAATTTAATATAATGCTATACAGGGTGTTTCTGGAGAAACGCAAACGATATGGATTTGAAATTTTAATAGCATATACAATTTGATTTAGACTATACATAAAGTGAATAGTTTTCAAGATATTAATTTTTTTCAACATATACCTTGAGAAAAACCACTTGAAATTAGACAAACTTCAAACAATAATAACGCTTTTATTATTAATGTAAAACTCTGTATGTTTTAACATAATCAAATAGAACATTAAAGAATCTTTCTATTGATATTATAGTAACTCTTTACTGAAGTTAAAATTTCAGAGACATTTAACACTTTCTAATATTTTCAATACTATTTTGTATCAGAAACCTCTGAAATTTAACATGTGGTTTAATGTGACAGTATCCATGGTTACCACCAAATCTGTGATTGTTTAAAATTAATTAAAATATTTGATTGAAAAATTAATAACTCAACAAATATTGACTTTAGGTATAGGATGGTATAGCCATTTTACTCAGAATTTTATGTAGAATTAAATAATGTGAAAATATATGAGGTATTCCGGTAAAACAGGAAGTATTATTTTGTTCAAAATAATTTAGGAAAAGAATCTAAAGCGAATAATTTACGCTATTAAAAATTTAAATCGATGTCTTTCGCGATTCCCTAGAAACTTCCAACGTACTAAGTACGTGAAACACCCTGTATAATAAACGTAATTTATGTGTTATTAAGTATACTTAATTATTAATAAAAGATACAACAATATTTAAATAAAAATGACAAAATGTACTAAACTAAACATTTATGAATACTGCTAATTTAAAAGTGATCATGGCCACAGAAACATCATTTGCATAAAAAAGTTCATATATCAAATAATAGTCAAATATCAATACTTTAACGTGTTATACTCAAATTTATAAAACAAAGTTACTTCTTCGATTATTTACCCTTTAAAAATTGTTCAATTTTAAACAAAAATATCACCAGTGCCCCCTGTACGTTATAATCTAAACAAATTTTTTTCATGGATTAATTGTCATTAGTAAGATCTACATTTTGTCCAAATTTCAAATCGATACATGAAATAAAAAAGTTATTCATTTTTAACACAGAGAAGAAAAAAATAAAAATAAAAACAAAGTTGTCAATGGACGAGATTTTTTTTTTGAAAAAAGTACTGCATTTAGATGTAGAAATAAGGTAAAAAAGTTTCAATCGATTTCTTGAACCCTTGCAAATCGACCGTTCGATCCTTTCGCGAAACCGTAGTTAACACATATACAGTGCTTGCAAATCCACGCGGGTATTGAACAACCTCATCCTTCCCAACGCGGTCGGACTTGGATTTGCAAGCACTGTATGTGCTTATATGTGTTTATATGGTTTTATATGTCAGGAATTGATATGGAACACCATCTTATATGAATTTATAGGTAATTGGGTATATGGTCAGTTTTTTATATGTC